AAACCATGTCCCCCAGCGTTCGCCAAGGTACTGAGTTGTGAACCACGATGCATATTCCTTTTCTTGTTTAGTGATCCAGAATGTCGTACATTTTTCCGCCAATGCGAGAAACTGCTGAGGAGAACGAGCTAATTCGAGCTCATGGATATTCTTATCAGCATGATTGCCATAGAACGTTGGATCTCGCAACAACCCGGATTTTTCATACGCTTTACGATATAGATGTGGGTAGCAGTTCAGAATGCCAATATTCGGCCAAATCGCTTTGTAGGCGTTTGCGATGTATGTAGCGTGGTCTTGACTTCCGTACTTCAATGTCAACGTGCAGTCAAAGTATTTTGCAGCGAAATCCACAGTGGTTGTGAACATGGTTTTGTAAGCGTACTCGTGTTCGGTTCGCACGAACATATACACCCACGGTACGAAGGATCGTCTGTAGGTACGGTTGTCGTAGACACCACAAGCCGTCCCGAAACAGACCCGTGTCCATCGATCTACAAGACATTTAGAGAAGTTAAGTTAGAAAAATAAAATAAAACGCTACAAATAAGTAAAAAAAAGAGAAACATATACTGAAATTCGATTCGATATGTGCCGTCGGTCAAACCGACAACTCCGTCGGTATTTTGTGCCTCCACCGATTAGTACACATGACGAAAGATGCGCCTTGGCGTAAAAATGAAACCAAACGAAGTAGCTTCTTTTCTATCCTTGTCGGTGAAAGTGTGGTCGAACGTATTAATTCTGAATACGTTCGACCACACTTTCACCGACAAGGATAGAAAAGAAGCTACTTCGTTTGGTTTCATTTTTTTCAGAACGACAAACGTACATTTGCCAAAAAAAGACTTGGAATTTCAGAATGAATATGATGTCATTCTGAAATTCCAAGTCTTTTTTTGGCAAATGTACGTTTGTCGTTCTGAACATCAAAGTCTCCCATCCAACCGAAGAAAACGTCAGGATCAGTGCACATCCGTGGACTTGCCCACTCCATCATGACAGTGGAATTCGAAGTTTCCTAAGCATGTTTACTGCTTTTTTTCAGCGAAGCCTTGCGGTTTTTGAGCATAATCTCGTCCGGGATCTTCGCCTGCTTCACTTTGTTCTTCTTATACTTTTTCAACAAAAGCAGTCGAATGCGATTGCGTCCCGCACCTCCTCTCAGCATACAGGACACAGGCACTCCGATATTAGTGGTGGGCCAATACAACTGTGATGTGTGAGGAGGGTCGTTTTTCTGTGGTGTGTGGGAAGGGTCATTTATAAGCGTGGGTGGTTACATTGAGCAACTGCTAGTGGTTGTTTCGAATAATTATAGTAAGATACCATCAGCCGGTTTGCTCAGAGTGAGCGTCCTCATCATCTGATTGTATCACATGGTATTAGTAGAGGTCTTTAGCAAAACCGAAAAAAAAGGAATTTTCCGGTTAAATCATATGACTTTTCACCTAACCATAACCGAACAGTCCAAACTTCCAGTCGAACAATTCAATTCGAACCGAACAAAACAGCGCTTTTTTACGGTATAGAGTGATCAAACTCCAGTTGGAGTGTTGTAACTAAAATCACTCCTCTCATAGGTTAATTTGACGCCTTGAGAAAACTCAGCAGCAGCTTTACGTACACCATGAATGCAAACGAGGCCCACATACTTGACAGTGAGCTGGCTTACTACGCTCGATCGCTAACAAGAGGAGTGACACGAAATTTTAAGGACGTATACCTGCTACAACGCTGGATTGCTGCACAGGGCATGAGCCGCCATGTCGAAGTATCAGCTCTATTTGCTGAGCTTTCGTCTGGATTCGTCCAGGAACCACGAGTGAGGGTGCCGTTCAACCTCAATGCTCTTTCTGACATCGAATGTCAAAGGTTTTTCAGATTCGACAAAGCTGAGCTGTGCATTTTGGTGGACATCATGCAGATCCCTGAAGTGATAACACGTGAGCGAACGCACGCCACAGCGATGGAGGCTCTGTGCGTTGATCTGTACAGACGTCTATGCTGATGCTATTTTTAACGCTGAAAGTCCATACACAAATATTTGGTGCTTCATTGATGGCACAGTTCATGGCATCTGTAGGCCAACACCTCGTCGCCGATTTCGAAAGAAAAAATGGTTGAATCAGCAGTCTATGTATAATGGACATAAGAGGAAGCACGCAGTCAAGTTCCAAACTCTTGTTACACCTGATGGAATGATATCGCATTTGTTTGGCCCATTTCCTGGACGGAATCATGACATCAAAATGTACAGAGAATCAAATCTACCAGCTATTATTCGTGCTGATAAACGCTTTGAGCGTTATCGGATTTTCGATGACTGTGCATACGGACGTGACGGCGTGATGTTAAGCCCATTCGAGGGTGCTCTCGCCAATTTAACATGCAATCAAGTTCAAAAATAATGCTAATATGAGCAAGCTACGCGTCTCAGTGGAATGGTCGTATGCTCAGATTGTTAATTACTGGAAAGCTCTTGATGCAAAATCAAGTCTGCGTGTCGGCTCTCAGCCGGTTGGAACCATGTATCGTGTCGGTGTATTAATGACGAACTGCATTACCTGTTTCCGGGGTGGTAACACTGCTAGCGATTACTTTGGTGTGAAGCCTCCTTCTATCACTGAGTATCTGAGTGGAAGTTTGGATTATCCGGTCTCGCCGTAGCTGCACTAAAGAGCTTCGCACATTGTAGAAGGAGTTCACGATTACCGGCTTGAATACATTCTTCAGAACGCAATCTCTCTTCAGCTTGTTGTTTTTCAAATTGAAGCCGTGCTTCAAATTGATGCTGGTGTTGCTCTAACTCACGCGTTTTGAGTTCAATTTGCTCTTTGTGACGCTTTGCTTGCCGCTTTACTTCGTCTAAAAACGCATTCGATCGTTTGGGTGTAGACCGACTTGAGGTCGAAACCTGTGATGGAACCGCAGATGCTAAACTTGCGATGCTCTCAGTTTTACTCTCACTACTCCGTTCGTCAGAAGACGAGCGTTCCGTGTCGTAGTTTGGACGTTGCGATCTTTGGAGCTTGCTCTCGTTGATAAGGGCAGCAGCACTGTTAGCTAGATCCTCCTCCTTCCTAGTCTTAGCCGATTTCTTGGCCTTCTTTTCGTCTAAATACATGCGCTCGAGTTCAATGTAATCACGGACGAGTCCATTTAGATCGTTGTAGTGACTTCGGATGTTGACTGCATGAAGGTCTTCTTCTACACCAATGGCACGTGCGGATGATAGCTCGTCGGCCTTAAATTTGGCCTTGAGCAGATTGAGACGATCGGGAACTTGCTTCACGTTGAGTTGAACCTGTATGGCACTAGATACTCCTTTGGCAACTTCCTCCCAGACATGTCCTGTCGTACCTCGCTTTGCTGAGAAGGGCTTTAGGCGGATGAGCTCCCGCATTAGCTCTTGGTCGTGTTCAAGCTTGAATCGGAAAACCATTCGTCTGTTCTCTTCGAGAAAAATGGTGAAATAGTGAGCAAGGCAATGGTTTCACACAATTATAATTTTAGGGTGAACTTGATGCTATTTGTAGGGAGCAGCATATGTTTTTAACCGAACAGTACAGCTCGTGCTAAAGCAAGTTTGATGTCTTGTCAGGTGGGTTTACTTTCCGATCGAAAATTGAACAAACTGCTCGGAATTTCCTATGTATCGGTTTCCATCTTTTTTTGTAGCGGAAATAAGCTTAATCCTTCGTGAGTTCGACCCCGCAAGAATAGACTCCACACTCGTAGGTGAAGGAGTGTAGGCTACATTCGTAAGATGCGAAGTTACTCCAGGGTTTCTTCTTGCATAGAAACAGAAGTCCTGGCCCGGGTAGGATGCGATCGTTGTACCGCACAAGATCAAGATCACTATCGTCAACTACGACATCACCACCACGAGACCACTATCGTCACCTCCCTACCGTAGCCTTATCGTTCTCTCGATCATGAATTACGACACTCGATCGTGTGTATTTTCAAGGTAGTGTGAATCCTCATCGGCTTCGGCTTGGGCTGTAGGTGCGGCTACACGTACTGCGACATTAATGAAGCAGTGCTATAACTGGAGTGATACGCTCCAGTGGGCAATGTGTCGGCTTCGGTACCAGGTGCGGTTCTTGGTGGGCAAGTCTTATGGCACATCCACCCAATGCAGTGAACTCTTTATCGACTACACTTCAATTCTCGTAACACATCAGACATGTACCTCGAGCTCACTTGCTATATCCATTCCTCCGCCCATACAACTAAACGATGGCCACTACAGTAGTGTAACACGGCGATGGGTCCTGCTCCATGTCCATTGATGACCCGAGATTTCGATGACTCTTGTCATCTTCGATAGTACCACAGGTACCACCACAGCTTTCAGCATACCGTCTCCTCTCACTACGGTCAACTTCTACCTGCACCTTCGACGCATTGTCGACTTGCTGGTCATGGTTCGAATGGAATTCTCACTTGTCAATCTACCGCCAACAGGCAAAGACCTCCGACACTACCACCTGCCATGGCGACGGAGACTCCGAGAGCGCAGAGCAACGCTGCATTCGAGAACTTTGAAAAGGCCTCTCCCAATGTGGTCCCCAAGGTCGAAGAGGTCAAGCCTCAACGCCGGTGGTGCTGCAGCCAGAAGGTCTGGGCTATCACACTCATGGCTATGGGCTCTTTGACCGCCATACTGGGCATCCTGTACGGCACCGCGTTGCCCGCGTACGTCAACAAGGCCGTGAAGGACCAGGTTCTGCGCTGCTCCGACTCTGAAGTAGCCGAAGAGGTCTTCCTCGACCCGTACGGTGACTGTGACGACTGCTCGCCCTACTACGTGTCCGTGTATATGCTCAATGCCACCAACGCCGAGGACTACCTAGCCACCAATGCCAAGCTCAAAGTCCAGGAGATGGGACCCTACGTCTATCGTCGTCGTGAGATCAAGCTGGACGTGACTCTGTCGGACGATGCCTCCACCGTCACTTACAAGACGTACACGTACCACACGTACGAACCGACCAAGAGCTGTGACGGCTGCTCTGACACGGACGAGATTGTGAGCTTCGACACCGGGTACTTCAGCGTCATCGCGGCGACGGGCGGCGAGTTCAACCTGCTCGCTAGTATCGCAGCTCAGTCCTTCGCTGCGAATGCAACCTTGAGCGAGATGCAAGAGATCATCGCCCAGTACGGCGAACAGATGATGCGCTGGATGAACGGCCTCAACTCGCTGGATCCGGCGGCCATGAAGACGGTGACCAACAACAGTGCCGTGCTAACCGTCCTAACCTCCGGTCCAGCAGCCATCGCCGACCTGGATCTGTCTGGATTCGTCTACAACGGCCTGTTCGTCAAGCGCACGGCGTCGCAATGGGCGTTGGGTTACCCGAGTCTGTTGGCCGGCCTCATTCTGGGCGCCAACTACCTCAACACTTGCGTGCCCAGTATGAACGCCCAGTGTGCGTCCTGCAGTGGAGATGAGTGTTTGGCCATCTCTGCGGCCTGTTCGCAGTGCACCAGGGGCGCGGCTCTACTGGCGGTGAATAACGTCACCTGTGGCATCATTGAATCCATCTACGCCGCTGAATACGGCGAGACGGAGGCTGCCACTGTTGTTGGCACCACGTGCAAGTTGTGTGAGAACCTAGGTCTCTGTGCTGCACCGCTGCCCGGTATTGTCGAGAGCTCTGGCTTAGACTACTCACAAGCGGCACCGGACGCGTCGTCACTCCTAGACTACGTCAAGCGTACAGGCTGCGACGATCTGACCAAGATCGGAACGTACGTCGAGTACAACGGCTTCACCGTCGCGCCTGTGTGGGCGGATCTGGGCGAACGTCGTAACCCGACGCTGGCTGAGCTCAGCGCGTTCTCTAGTTACGCCAACTGCGAGTCTCCCGTTGCCAACGTCACTTGCTTCCCAGTTTCCGGGTCGGACGGCGCGGCGCTCAAGCCTGGAGGTGTCACCATCAACGGTATGGCCAAGCACACCACCGCCGACTCGTTCAACTCGTACACGGGCTCTATCAAGATCTACACGACAATCGAGAACACAGACACGGAAGTCGACTTCAACGGCGTCTCGCTGCATCGCTTCGGCACTCCGAGCGACACCTTCAACTACACGGAGGAGAACGCCAAGCTTGGCACAGGCGTCCCCGTTGACGGTCTGCACCAGCTGAGCTTCGTCACGGGTTTCCTCACGTACATGTCCGGTCCGTTCTTTATCTTCAGCAACACGTCACTGCTGGAAGCTGTGGAGATGACCAACACCAACGGCACAGTGGTGACGGCCGACAACATGTACGAGTCGGACGGAAGTCTCGTCGAGAGCTTACACAGTGCGTATGGCACGTTCGTGGACATTGAGTCAGGCACAGGCCAGACCATGAGCGCTCGCAAGCGCTCGCAGATCTCGTACGCTGTGGCTGCCTCGAGTGTCGTACCCAACGCGTCCATGAGTGACTTGGTGTGGCCGACGCTGCCGACGGAAGTGGTACTGCCCACGTACTGGGTGGAGGAGGCTGGTGAGGCCAAGGACAGCGTTCTGGACACGTTCAAGAGCACGCTCACCCTCGTCAAGACGTTCCTGCCGGGTCTCATCGTGCTCATCATCGTGGGCGTCTTGGAGGTCGGCGGAGGCGTCTTCCTCTGGCGTCGTTACAAGCAGAAGCTCGAGGTGCTGCGCTACGGCAGCGTCATATGAGCGACGAACGGACAGCACGGAAGCGAACCGATGTATATCTTCATGTAAAAAGTCTGAAAATTAATTCCTAATTCACTTGTCAATATTCGCCGGCATTCCTGGTGTGTTGGACACTGCCAAAGAAGTCCAAGCGGCAGCTGAGGCATGCGCTTCATTAAACGAAGGGAGCTCTTACGAGCACAAATAGCTCTGTAGCGCCAGTGTTAGCTGAGGTGGTGCCGTACGTCTACAGCCGAGATAGTCGCGGGATAAGAAACATCCGATCTCGAGGAGAGCTGTTGGTGGTGCTGGAAACGACGTGAGCAGACAGTCTTCATAATTCAAATTATCGCGACATCAAGAGGACAATAATTGGACAATGGACGAGTGTTGCAGCGCCTGCTGGAGCGCGATCTGCGCTGGATGCTGCATCACGTGCTTCGAAGCGACCTGTTACCCAGTCTGCAACGCCTGCTCGAGGTGTTGCTGCGGAGATCGAGGCTTCTCATGCTGCACTGGACAAGATAACGCGTACAGACGGCGGAGCTCCGACTCGTATGGTCGAGCCGACTCTCCACCTCCTGAGATCGTTGCGGTGCCGGTCAAGATGCAGCCGGTTACACCTGGAGTGGCCAACAACTTCGAGCCCGTGCGGCAAGTGTAGAAAACTCGCTAATGCAAATACACAAAGATGACCGAGTTGTTCTTCGTAGGCACTTTATAACGCCGTAGACTAAGACTATATCTACGTCGTGTGTTCAGGAATTGATAGCTCGAAGCCTCTGGATTGTCAAAAGTTATTCACTCAAGCTGCCACGCTTTCCAGAAGTCCGTACTCGCCAATGGAGTTGGACACCTCCTACAGCGACACCAAAGAACCCACGTCAACGCCTGCATTATACAGTACGAAGTCAAGTAATTGAAGCCTTACCAGGAGCGTCGGCCACCGCCCAGTCTCCAGCTTGGAGAAGATCAAGTCGTCTACAGTCGTCACGCAGTCAGTATTGGCCCAGCAAGCACTGAATTCCACGTCACGTACCGTTGAAGTAGATCTCGAACGCCCCCGATGCCGTCAAACTACTGGCAGCAGTCCCCATGAACATTACAATGAAGAAGGCCGCGATGCGGTTGTCCCGCGCCCAGCGCAGCATCGTCATGTCCACGCCTAGAGCAGGCAGTATCTGACACTCCAAGTCAGAATCTCCACATCTAACTCTCCACACCTTTCAATTGCACTCACATATTCCCCAAACAACAGTAAAATCATCGCCGTCGCCTGTGCGTAGCCCAAGAACTGGGCTAGCATCTACAGTACATCAGGTCAGTATCGTCCTCCTCGTGTCCGTCCACCTTGCAACAATATATCACCAACCGTTTTGTATGGGTCCACTTCGTAATTGGCGCCGTAGACCCTGTCCACCAGATGCGGGAAAGTGTCTTCCAGGTACGTCTTGATCTGGTTGAAATTCTGCTGGTAGCCGCACGCCGTGCAGTACAAAATGTTCACCCGGTCGTCCGCAATGTTACGCTGCAGGTTGCGCTCCTTGGATGCTGCCGCCTCCTCTGCCTTCGCAGCGACATCGAATACTGACTCAGCGGGGGCGCCATGCGTGGCCGTAAACGGCTTCAGCACTGCCACACTCAGTGCCACCAGCAGCAGAATGCGCTGCACGCCGAACGTCATCGTGCTCTAAGCCGCAGTGTAGTTTTACGCCCGCAATAAAAGTCTTGGCTATTATCGCTAATTTACAATTAACTGGTGTCTATATAAATAATTAATGCACATTGGTTTGGTTAGATTTGTAGTTTTCCGAGCAAGTTTTGTGTACACTTCAAGTGGCTCACTTTTGATTTCGACCGCCAAAAAGCTGCAGAATAATGTGCGACTGCGAGTGTGGGGATGAGGGCGTATCGCCCACGCGGCGGGAGAGCGCATACGACATGATCCGCGTAGACGCTGCCGTCGAGCTGGTGCTACAGCAGACACAACCGCTCGAAGTTGTGGCAGTTCAGGCGCACGAGGCCGACGGATTCGTGCTGGCCGAGCCCGTTCTCAGCGTCGTGAGTCGGCGTCAGATATCAACATAAGGCAGCACTACCATACCCTACTAATACTACCAATATTGTAGGAGCCGTTGCCTCCTTTCCGGGCGAGCATCATGGACGGCTACGCAGTCGTCGCAGCGGACGGAGTGGGCACAGTACGTTCTGGCTCACCAGAAGCCTCCACTATGGAGATCTGACCTTGTGATAAAGTTCCCTGTAGTAGAGCGAATAGCGGCGGGGGACATGCCATCGAGTGCGTTGAAGCATGGTCAGGTATCGTACATTACGACGGGATCTCCCGTTCCGGACGGGGCCGACGCTGTTGTGAAGATCGAGGACACGAGCAGTGTCGAAGGCAGTGAGAAACCTGAGCGAGAAACCGCAGTTAACATCTTGAAGACGGTGAAGGCGGGGCAGAACATCCGTCCCATCGGATCCGACATCAGTCCGGGCGAAGTGCTGGTGGACGCACACGAACTCGTGTCACCTGCTGAGATTGGACTAATGGCGACGGTGAGGATAGAGAAGGCTTTTTTTTAGTGTATGGTAGTATTAACGACGTGCTGCTTGATGCAGGCGGGAATCACTGAAGTGCAGGCGCACCGGAAGCCTGTGGTTGGCGTTCTGTCGACGGGTAGTGAGCTCGTTGAAGCTTTTCAGGGGACGACTACGCCTGGAAAAATTCGAGACAGCAACCGTCCAATGCTGCTGGCATTGCTGAGTAGTTGGGGAGCCACGGCTGTTAATTTAGGCGTGTGCAGTGATAAGAAACAGGCTCTGAAGGATACTATACTGACGGCACTGGAGAAGGTTGACGTGCTGATCACAAGCGGTGGCGTTAGTATGGGAGAGCACGACCTCATCAAGCCTCTACTGGAAGAAATGGGTAGCGTTCACTTCGGAAGACTGCTAATGAAGCCCGGAAAGCCCACGACGTTTGCTACATTGGATGTGCAAAGAAAGAAGAAACTAGTGTTTGCTCTTCCAGGAAACCCAGTGAGCTCCTTCACGACGTGTCATCTGCTTGTTCATCCCGCACTAAAGCGCCTTCGTGGACTTCCGATCTCGAAGTGCCACCATACTAAGGTGTACGCGACACTCACGCATCCGATCAAGCTGGATGCAGAACGTCCTGAATTTCATCGGGCAAACCTGGTATGGGACAGCAAGCAGCACAAATTTCTAGCCACCAGCACTGGTCGACAAATCAGCTCTCGCTTGCTCAGGTATGCTTCTACTCTTCGACCGATGTCTATACTGTAACTAACTCGCTACGCTTTATTCAATTAATCTAGTTGCCGTCATGCGAATGCTCTGCTGTGCTTGCCAACGGGGACCGAAGTGCGTGACGGCGATGCTGTTGCCGCTCTCGTTCTGGAGAGCTCCTTTGGAAATGCCACGGGTGTCGTCTCAGCCACGCCCATACTGAACCAAAGTGCTGTATCTTCGACCCACGTACATACGACCAACGAAAAACCGAGTGTTCCCAAGAAGGTTTTTCGCGCTGGACTCTTAACTGTACGTGCCAGCGACCACTTACTTGTTGGCACTGTTGATATTGATGCACGACTATGTTGCTGATGTTTGTGTAGATTAGCGACCGTGTATCTGCTGGCATCTCAACCGACATGAGTGGGCCCGCGATGGTTGACGTGCTGCAACAAGTTGACAAGGTGCAAATGGATGTGGTGGCCATTAAGGTTGTGCCTGATGATGTGGATAAAATTCAAGCGGTGGTGAAGGATTGGGCAGACTCGGATACGGTGGATCTGATTTTGACTTCAGGAGGCACAGGCTTCAGCCCTCGCGATGTCACCCCAGAGGCTATAAAGGCTGTGCTAGACAAGTATATTCCAGGATTCCCTATTGCAATGCTCGAGAGCTCGCTAAAGATCACGGCCAAGGCTGTGCTGTCTCGGCCTGTGGCAGGTATTCGTAAGAACACGCTGATTGTAACGCTGCCGGGGAAGCCGAAGGCGGTCGTAGAGAATTTCTCTGCGATTGCTGAAGTCTTACCACATGCACTGCATCTTGTCCGAGATGTACCGCACGAGCATCATCGCGCAAATCCGAGCTCGCTCTACACTTGATGACAACTCGGAGCACTGTCGATGAATATTCGATACCGTGTTTTTACTTTTCGTACTAAAAGTTAGCATATAGCTTATTCAATCGCGATGAAATGAATAAAAACCACCAATCTGTTTACCAGTAACATATCAATTTTCGACAAGTTACCTATCTTTTCATCAATCAATCAATTTCGTCAATCTAGCAACTTTTCCGGCGGTGCTACTTTTGTTTAGTTTCGCCTCGGTTCTAGCAGAAAGAAATGGAATCTCGATACACTTGACTTGAATTCAACGTGGGTTAAACTATGCAAGCGATTAACCAAGGAGTACCAGACAGTGAATTGAGTCTCGATCACAATCTACCATGTTGTTCAACAGCTCTAGAAGAGATGCTGCGGACGGTCGGTAATCAGGATCCAGTTCCAAGCACTGCATTTCCATTTCATCGAGTTCGGACGGGCGATTCAATACTGGTGCAGTCTGTAAGAGATAGCCTACACTCTAAATATCCACCAAGGCTAAGTGCTCTGACGCAATCTTCGGAGCACGCGAGTCTGGGTTTAAATGTGATGCCCCTTCCGCTGGGGTCGAATCACATTCGTCGAAGTCAATGAGAAACCATTCGTCGCGGTCTTGATATTTCAACACGTTATCCCAACGCAGGGCTCCGACAATATAAATTGTATATGGAT